CGCCAGAGGGGTCTGGGGCCATCCCTCCTCACCCAGGGTGGGGACAGGAGGGGAATGGGACGCATCTCTCCTGGCAGCTGAACAAAGGCTGGGAGCACAGGCTCCTGGAAACATCATCTGTTTGTCTGGAACTGAGATGTGGCCGCCAGCCAGGAGCCCCGACACCAGCTGAGCCCCCAGCCACAGGGATGTGCAGGAGGAGGACAAGGAGGAGAAGGAGGAGGAGGAGGAGAGCTTTTCTCACAGCGGGAAATCCTTTTCTCATATGGAGAATCCTGCAGTGCAGCTGTTTGGACCATCCTTGATGGACAGAGCAGCTTGGCCCTGCAAACAGAGTCCTGGGGGAACCTGGACAGAGCCAGAGCTGGATCCAAAAGGTGCCAGACAGGAGGACATGGCACCACAGGGGTGTTTAGGGGATGAGGACAGGCCTGAAGGCACTGGGGGAGGAAACACCTGGATGGGACACAGAGTGTTGGTTCAGCTCCCACCATGGCCCCAAGCCATGCTGACAGAGACCCAATTTGGGGAGCACACACCCCTCTCCCTCTGGCACAGAGCTGGGCTCCATAAACGGAGACTCACACCTGCAGATTTGCCTCATCAAAGTAGAGGGGCTTTAGGCTACAGATTCCCCCCTTTCAACTAAATATTTCCAAAGCAAGCAGCCCCATGTCCCCAAAGGAAGCACGGAGTGACCTCAGCCAGGCACGGTGCCATGGCAGCAGGTGAATCCAGAGCAAACTCAGCCCAAGCAAAGGTCCCAGGAGGGAGGTGAGGACGGTGTTCTCATGGAAAACCTCTGCTGAGGAATCGTCAGGGCTGCTGTGAGCTAAACATTTGCTGGGCTTCAAAAGGAAAAAGCCTTTGGCCCCAGACCAAGAGCAGGTCCTGAGTGTTCAAGGGAGTAGAAGCTGCAGAGGGAACACCTCAAAACACAGGGGCAGCAATCAAAGATTCAGCCAGGAGCAGCCCCCACAGGTTTGGAATTGACTTAAGGATGCTGAGAGATCCTTTCTCTAAGACTTTGGCTCCAAAGCCCTGATACTCTGAGTTTGCTGTGCCTGGTGGGTCCCATGGGATCACAGTGCTGAGGGTTCTGGCTCTGTCCCCTTTGATTCTGCAGTCACTGCTCACTGTTAAACTCTCCCTGAGTTTAACTTTTTGCTTCTTCTAATTGTTAAGCTCCCATTTGCCAACCCAAAAAGATTTTACTTATTCTGGGTAACTTCTGGGCCAGGCAGGGAGGTGTCCTCCAAGCACACTGCGACCCAAAGAAGAAAGGACTCCAACTCTCCATGATAAACAATTGTCCTTCTCTGTGGGATTTGCAAACAGTGAGCAAAACTCACATGTGGTGCAAGATAAAACTTCATAGCCAAGTTCTAATCAAATCAAGAGTCTGAGCAAGACAAAAAGCAGCACCAGCACCAAGCTTGTTTTAGGTCCTACTACAGGTCCCTCTGATAACCTGACTTGATTTCCCCAAGCACAATAGGGGATCCTGCACCTCCAAGACACCAGGTCATGGCGAGGATTAGGAGTGTGATGAGCCCAAAGAACTGAAAGACCTTGACTGACAAGCTGACATTCCCTCCAAAAGACAAAAGTACCTTCACCAGCAAAGGCAAATACAGAGCAGTGTGTGGTGTCCCNCCAGTTCTCAGTGTGCCTCTCCCAGTGCCATCTGCTGGTCACCTCCTGGCTGGGCTGGGCTGGGCTGGGAGCTCAGAGCATCCTGCAGCCAGCTGGGCTCCTGCTGCACTGCTGGGGCTGCTGGGCAGCAGAGCCACCAATAACCTCTAACAGCATCAATTGTACCTCTGGAACTCAGATTGTACCAACACACGTGGGGATTTGTTCTCCCTGACCAGACACACACAAGTTACACATCAAGCAGGGTCTGTATTTAAATTCAAATACACTGAAATTATGCAATGAAGCCATGCTGGGAAAAGCTACATGAAGGAGCTGGTGGCCCCTCTCAGCTCTGAAGGTTTCTCTTCTGTGTGTGCACACAGGTGCAGGCATATGTGAAAAATAAATCTGTGGCATTGGAGTGACTGAGGAATGGGATATGTGCCAGGGAGCAAGAGAGGAGGAGGAGGAGGGAGGGAGGAGGCAAGGGCTGCAGAGTGTGAGGAGGAAAGGGGAGAACAGCTGGGCAGTACTGGCCAGAGCTCCACCAGAACCAGGAGGAAACAGAAATCCCCAAATAGCCATTCTAATTGGATAAGATAGGAAAGAGACCAAAACTGAAAGAAACACACTGGGAGGGAAAAGAGCCTTTCTGTAGGAAACTCCTCCTGACAAACACCAATGCCAACCACCATGCCTCATCTACAAACACCAAAGCCAACCACCATGTCTCACTGTCCCCAAGTCACCCTGCTGTCCCCAGGGTCAGCCATATGGGTTTGTGGGTAAGTGGGAGAGCTCAACACTTCCAGCCTGGAAATGGAACAGAAGCCAGGAAAAAGGAGAACATCCAAGGTCACCAGNGGCTGATTCAGCTGGGATATCCCAGCCAAGGCAAAACTTGGGATTAGTGTAGAAAACAGGTCTTGGTCTCCTGCCACGGCCTGTCAGGGTGTTTACTCACCAGCCTGACCCCACGGCAGCTAAAGCCAGGGCAGACAACTTTGGGGGTGAGCAGATCCCTGATCCCCTCAGGACAGAGCAGGGGATGGACACTGGGACAGGGAATTCTGTCTCACTTCTGCTCCAGACCCCAGGAGGGTCTGCAGCCACCAACCACTCTTGGTGCTCTCAGCAGCTCCAAGCCAGTGGTGCCAAGGCTGATCTCAGGGCTGGGAATGGGGTACCCAGCTCTCCTCCCATGTCCAGCCCTTCCTGCTGCTGCAAAAGGGCAAAAGGCACCCAGGGAATGGCTGCTGCAGGCAGGGAAGAACCAGGCCCAGGGCAGGGGAGAGTTTGTACCCTCAGCTACTGCCACCTCAGCCTTGAGCAGCTCTTGGGGAAGAAGGTCCCTCCCTGGGTGTGTTCCAGGAGCTAAACCAGCACTCAGCAGCCACAATCATGGGCTGGGATTTCCAGACAACCCTTCCTTAGTCTGGGACCAACCCAAGATAACACCAGCATCATTTGGAACTTCTATTTCTGACCAAGGACAAACCCTGCTGTGACATGAGGGCATTTCCAGCACAGAAACCCCACTGAGATGCACCAATCCATGCAGGGGCTGGGACTTACGGGGGATAATAGTTGCAGACCAGCAGGTGCATGTTCTCTGTTTCAATCCCATCAATCTTCTCACAGAAATGTGCCCCGCACCCGATCTGATGCGTGCTTGACCAGACCACCTAAGGCAAAGACCAGGGTGGAGGTGAGGGAATTGGGTGAAGGCAACCTGTGCCCTGGCCTTAAAGGCTGCTCCAAAGACCTCCTCACCCACAGAGTGTGCCCCACATCCCCATGTTGCTTTGGCATTCATGATCCACCACTGTCTTTTTTAAGGTTTTCTAAGCCTTCTGATGTTGACATTCTTGTAGCGAACTTTCTCACACACTTTCTGTAAATAACTCATTGTTTTGCTTTCCTTTATGGAGGAAGAGAAAGTTGATGGACTGTTGGTTTGTCCAGTGTCATTGGAGAGGTGGCACTGCCACCCTCCAATCCACTGTCACTTTTGGAAAACTGTAAATGTTGGAGTCAGAAAATAAACTTCCCTTTCTTTCTTCACCTTGAGAACAGCGGTGTGTGCTTGTGTTCTTTGGTGTCCTATAGTGACACACCACCATCTCTGCTCCTACCCAGGCTGTGAAGAAACACTCAGACTTCATCTTTCTGACAAAATCCTTCACCCAGCTCCACTGAGCAGCCACCCCTGCACCCCCGCAGCTGTACCTGGGTGTAGTGGCCACACATCTGCCCGGGGACACACGTGGATGTTGTGAAGTTGTAGAATTTCTCCTCCCCGTTCCAGTCTTCCACGGCGAATTCCAGTTCCAGCATTGGGGCCATGGCAAAGAGGTTTTCTCCCCGTCGGCCTCTCTCCTTGTTGTGGTCCCAGATGCATTTCTCTGCATAGGATTGAGCAAGGGCCTCCAGCTCCTTGTCCCAGGTCTGAAAGGAGCTCGGAGTCAGCACACAGGGAGGGACACTGGGCTCTCCAACAGGAACAAGGCACCCACCAAGGACCCCTGCCCTGTNTTCAGGTTTGGCTGTGGGCTCTGGTTTGGCTGTGGGCTCTGGTTTAGCTGTGGCTGAGGGTTCAGGTTTGGCTGTGGGCTCTGGTTTAGCTGTGGCTGTGGGCTCTGGTTTGGCTGTGGGCTCTGGTTTGGCTGTGCCTGGGGTGGATGGCCTTGCCTTTGTTGTCACAGAGGCCGGAGTGGTCTCTTCTACAACGAGTTCTGGTGAGAGATGAAAAGTGCCGTGGGTTAGGGCTGGCTCAGCTCATCTCAATTGATCCCCTGCACTGAGCAGGACCAGCAGAAACCAACGAGGGGCTGAAACAGCAGCTGACCCCTCTCGGGTCACTCTGGGCCATGCCCCACTCTGGGGTTCCCAACCTGGAGACATCTCATGGCCCTCACAACCTCCTGCCATGCAAGGGGCAAATAATGCTGCCTATCAGGGTACAAGCCTCTCCTTATCTTAAGGCAGTTGTCCTGTCTCATGGTCCAGCTCTGGAACTGCAGTTCCTGACAGCTCCAGGAGGGTTCAGAGCTCAGACCAGCCCAGGGTCTCAGTCCCAACAGCCCCCCCAGGGCCATGCATGGCTCTGCTCACTCACCACACAGGTTGTTCACACAGACTGTGCCCCTGGGACACATTTCACATGAGGGTCCTTCCACGTAGGGCTTCTTGCCTTTCATGTTACCCCTGGAAGCAGAAAATGCCAAGATAAAGAATGTTGCAGTGTGATGTAACAGCCTGTTTCAGTCATCCTGGTTCTTTCCCGAGGTGTGCCAACAACCTCTCCCTTCCCCTCCCTTGCCCCTGCTGAGTGCTGTCCGTCAATCTTGGCATCCCAGAAAGGGCGTAGTGTGATTGGTGAAGTTCAAAAGATGCCTCTCAGCCCTGGGGACACTGGGCCATCCAGGTGTCATTTGTCCCCTGAGACCTTTTCCCCCTTACCTGGTTGGTGGGATGTCACAGACATCTTTTCATTAAAAGTCCTTTCTTAGGATTTTTCTTCCTGAGAAGCTGAGAGGCCTCAGGAACAAAATGTAAACAATGGTTATCTGCTGCTGTGGAATGCAATAGGTGCATCTGTGACTGGCCCATGTTGGATGTTTATAATTAATGGCCAATCACAGCCCATTAGCTTGGACTCTCTGTCCAAGACACAAACCTTTATTCATTCCTTTCTATTCTTAGCTTAGCTAGCCTTCTGAGATGAAACTTTTCCTTCTTTTCTTTTTAGTATAGTTTTAATGTACTATATATCATAAAATAATAAATCAAGCCTTCTGAAACATGGAGTCAGATCCTCATCTCTTCCCTCACCTGAAAGCCCCTGTGAACACNCAAGGAGGGAGCACGGGAATTGTCCAAGGAGCTCCTGAGCCTGCCAGGGCTGTGGAACAACCAGCGCTGACAAAAGCCTTGGGGAGGGTGCAGGGAGAGCTGAGGAAGACCCTTCAGAGCAGAAGGCCCACCAGGATGGCACTGGGGAGGAGGAGGAAGAGCGAAAGGCCCAGGCAGGTACTGGGGGCTCCTCCTTTGGGCTGATCCACACTTGTCTGGTCTGAGTTTGTCTCCAGTTCTGTGTCCAGGGCACCTGCTGGAAGAAGAGAGGAGAATGTGGGGTTAGAGGGGAGGATCTGGCAGAGGGGAAGCTCCCACTCATGCAGGTGTGCCACAACGTGCTCCGTGAGGCAGCAGAGCTCTGTCCAGGGAAGCTGTGCGTTAGTGGGAGCAGGCTGTGAACGGGACCATGCTGCAGGGACGGGACATCCAACAGCCCCTCAGGGTTAGAGCAGGGAGTGAGGGAAAGGCTTGGTGCCACATACAAGAGGAGGATCCAAAGGACCAGTGTGACACTGCTCCTCCCAAGCCCTGTCCATGCTGCTTGGGGATCCCTGAATGTCTGAGTGTCCATGCCAGGGCAAACTCCACAGTCGCCTTACCTGAGAGGGAGGTCTGGAAATGGGGGCTTGGCCCTTTTTTGTCTTTGGAGGATGATGTTAAGCGCAAGAACGTGGGCTCTTCAGGGCTGAGGACCACTGACTTGGAGGGGGTTATGAGCTCAGCTCTATTGGAACCTAGCTTCATCTCTGGAACAGCTTGGCTGAGGGATGGAGATGGGCTGGGAAAGGCTGATTTCTCCTCCCCATGCTCTTTGACACCTTTCTTTATTTCTGGGACTGATCTGGGGCTGAAGGCCGTGCCCATGCTTTCTAATGAAGCTGGATCCTCTGTAGTGAAGGAGCTAAGAGGCTCTCCAGTGTCTGCCTCTGGAGATACTTTATAATCTGGGTCTAAGGTGGGCTCAAAGGAAAGAGTGATCTTGGCTCTCTCAGTGGGATCAGGCCTTTCTGGTTCTGGCTTTGTGGTTGTGGCAGTTTTCAGTTGTGTCTTTGCTGTTGTGGCGGGTGCTGGTGTTGTAGCAGCAGGTGCTGGCTTGGCTGTAGTGGTGGTGGATGTTGGGGTGGTGGGTGTTGGCTTGGCTGTGGCTGCAGCAAGTTTTGGCTTAGCTGCAGTTGGGGTGTATTTTGGTGTGGTGGGTGTTGGCTTGGCCATAGTTGTGGTGGGCTTTGGCCTGGATGTAGGGGTGGTTGTGGTGGGGTTTGTTGTGGTGGGTGTTGGTTTGGTGGTGGTGGTGGTTGTGGTGGTGGTGGGTGTTTGTTTGGTGGTTGTGGTGGGGTTTGTTGTGGTGGGTGTTGGTTTGGTGGTGGCCGTGGTGGTTGTTGGCTTGGTGGCAGTGGTTGTCAGGCTGGGTTTTGGTGTGGTGGGTGTTGGCCTGGCCAGAGTTGTGGTGGGTTTTGG